GCTTAGTTTTCAAATGGAGAGAACAGAACAGATCAGTCTGACCCAGGAGACATAGCTGTGGTCTCAAAGTGACAATTATTGTTAGAAAATTATTCCACATAGGAGATTTAGAAAGATAAGTTCTCTTTCCACAGAATAGGCATAATTGAATGTTTACTTCCTTACTTGAGTTCTTGAGGAGTGGCTTTCTTAGTATGCATAGTCTGAAAGCCAAATCCTCATTTTAGGATGTAATTTAAGCTGAATTGCGCACAGGAGCCTGAATTCATCAGTTTAACAGAGTTACAAGAGAACAATACGACAGTTTTGAATTTTGCTTTCAATGAGGAGAGGAGATCAGAGGAAACTCTGATAAGCTTTTTGGCCTCAGTTGCTTAACACCCCAGCCATCTGACTTTGCACTTTCAGAAGCTCCTCTCTATTAGACTGATACCTTAGTATTACTTTTTTTTTATGTAAAACCTTTGACTCCCAACAATACAGGAGTTATGAAGTAGAAAATAATTTAAAATGGCTTATTTTTAGAATGAGTAAACATGGTTTGCCTCATTGCTGTGGCACTCATGTAGAATGCACATTCCTAGTCTCTAGCAATAAGTAAATATTTATTTTGCAGAAGCTGTTTTTCAAAGCCTTGTTCATAAGCTGTCCATTAATCACATAGAGCTCGAATGTGGGCATAGGTATTTGTTACCAGAATTTCTGATGTTTTGTGTCAAGTCACATGTTCCTTATATCTATAATTTACTTTCTATGCAGTTTAAAGCTCTGATTTGTTTTGTAAAACACGATGTGTAGTCTATGTGTCCTTGAGAATCTGTTCACCCCTCTTCCCACCATTTTAGTTCCAGGATTTTCTCCATTAATAGTCATAGTTTGGACGGAAAGAAGGAGATCAAATTCAGGTCTTTGCTTCTGGAACTCATCCCAGATTTCAGCTACTCACACTTTGGGTATAATAATTTTTGTGCATTTTATGAAGAACACCTTGTATGCAGGCTGTTGTGTGCTCCTGACTTTGCCTCAATCCAAGATCAAAATTTAATTTCTTTCACTTTGCAGTAACTGCTGAGTATAACAATTTGAAGACCCAATTTAGGCTCTATTGAAAGAAAGATTTCTTTATTGGCAGTTTTACAGAAGTAGCGAAGACTCTTAAATAAAAGCCAGTATAGATATTAAAATAAGTGTGACTGGAATGTAAACCAAAAGGGCTTTGTCAACCTGTTCCTAATACTACGTTGCAAAATATGTCTTAAAATTGTCGTACAGGGCAGAATGTCTTGCCTCACACTCCTTGAGAAGTGTTTCTGTCTGTGGGTGTTTCTGAGGATTCTGGGTGATATAATCCATAGATTCTGGCAGATCATTATATATGCCTTAGTGAATAATTAGGAAGATTCCCATCCTGACTGATCAAATTTAACTTGCATTTAACATTTCTTTTTGGAGAATTGGTCTACATTTACATGTAAACTGATTCACCTAGGCTCGAAGCTTTAAGACCAGGACAAATAGATATGACTTACCAAGGAAGATGAGGACTCTTGAGCTCCTCTGTGACACATGGCTGTGATGATGCAACCCTTCTGAGGTCAGATTTGGTCTGTCTCAGCCCCTACTGTGGGAAACCTCTCAAACCAATTCATTCTTTCTTGTTCCATCTTTGGCTACCTAACAAGCAAAGCTTCCAGCCATTTTCTTCTGGTGGGTAGTCAGATTTTTCACGTGTGGCAGCAGGAGCCTGGAAGTGTACAAACCTTTGAGGGCCAGTTGGGGAAAGCTCCTATGTAAGGAGGGCTTTATCTGTTCGACTGTGTTATTTCAAGCAGTCATTCTATGATTGCCCCACCAAATTCCTGGAATCTGCTGCTTTGGCCAGGTCTCATCAGAACATCAGCCTGGTTTTGCCACATTTAAAGCTATTCTGTGCTCATTCCTTCTATCATATTGACTCACATTCACTTGACTTCTTTGCATAATACTTGCCAAAATTCAGTGCATTTAAACATGTATTTGTGCTGGGAAAAGCTTTGGGTTGCTCTCTCACTCAACAGGATGATTACCTACATGTTTAATTTCTAAGCCACCTGGTCATTTCCAGTGAAGAATATGTTTACAAGCATGCTTTAGTCTTATTGAGCCCCCTAAGCATTCTTCAGATGCTTTAAGTCAATGTTACATTAACTTGGAGTATTACGAATAGCAAGTTGGAGAAGAGGTCAGAGGCAAAATAACTGAAGATTCATAGTGCAGTGGAGATGTGCTAATGCTGATTTGAGGAGGAATTTTAATAATCTGAATTTTCCTTTTTCTTTTCTTTTTTTTTCCCTCCCTCTGTCTGAGTAGAGGGAATTCTTCACTGACACAGCTTTCACTGTGGACACTTGAGAAGTTTGTGGTCTGGGGGCTGATAACTGTGCAAGGATCATCCAAAAGACAAGTTTGGTGACTAGGTGTTTATTCACAGCTCAGATGACAATGCTCAGAGCTGCTAGCAGATAGAATTTTTTTGTCTGGTACAAAGTGCAAAGACCTGTGATGTATGCCAGTCCTTCTTAAAAAAAAGAAAAGAAATTGCCAATATAAAATCAAAACATTCATTGCAGAATTAAAGTACATAACAAATCAATTAGGTATATATTGTGAGGGGAAAAAAATATTACAGTGAAAACTATTCTTATATCAAAGTATTAAAAAAGCACAAGTCTTAAATGTAAAGCTCTGCTAATCAGAATATTGTTCTGCTTATATTCTGTCACATTCTTTTTTTTCCCTATCTGATCTACCAGTAATAATACAGTATGATTACCAGTAATTACCAGTAATGTGGGGAAGGAGGAGCATCGCCCCCATCATGTATACTTAAATGAGCATCAGTGAATTAATTAACACTGATGCTTAATCTGGCATCTTTAGGTTTCAGGTTTAATGCTTCTGTTGAAATTAAACAGTGACCATTCAGAACCCTCATGGATATTGCTACAGGTGCTCTACTTTACCTCTGGAGAAGGGGATGGATTGTATTAATCAGCCTACAGAAATACCCATATTATGTGAAAGTCTGGCACTTCTGAAATGAACAGTTTTGTCACTGAGGCAGGAGCCGATGATCTAGGAAAGGCAAGCTGGAAATTTGGGGACGCAACAAGATTGCAATGAATTATCTTCCCTTTTTACATAGCCATAAAAATGTAATTACTGTAATATATGGGTATATGGAGAGAAATAGTACTTTCAGCTTGGAAAAGAAACAGTTTATGGTTTATGCTTAAAATCAAAACTCAAAATCCTGCCCAAACACAAATTTCAATACATTCTGTGGCGTCACTATTTCTTCTCTAAAAATAACTCAATCAACAGTAGCAAGCTTTGCAGTTCTTCATGTAATAGCTCAAAGTCTATTGCTTGATATAAGCATATTGTTTGGAGCAGCTCTGCCACGAGGTACCTTTTCGGTTCACACCTGGTCCTCTGTTTCTTAGGACTTCCACAATTCAGTTGACAAACTGTCTGCTTTCAAAGGTCAGAAAGTGCAAAATCTTGCTTTATGAGCACACAAGAAGGGACAAGGCAAAATACCTAGACTCCTCTGTGAAGTACTCTTAGAAAGTTAACTAAATTCCTGTGGCATTGCAATACTGCTGAGGCTGCAGGTGAGACTCAGAGAGGTTCTGCTGAGGACCTGTTTTTCCAGAAAAATAGGCAGGTTCAAGTGAATTAATAGAATTGAAGTGATGAGTGTGTCTCTTTTCCCAAGCTTGTTATGCCTGCCTCTGTTTAAATGGGACTTGGGCTTGTTTTAGTCTCAACATTGAACATGACAGCATACATAAGGATGTCAGCCGTGCCCAAATAACAGGAGCTGTCTCCTTTCTGATAGCAGAGACAGGGGTCAGAAAGGAGACTTCTGCTTCCAGCATCCTCCATGATGGTGGGGAAGCTGCCAAGCTCAAGGTTTCAAAAAAATTAGCTTAAATTAATACTGGCCAGGGAGGGACTGGTGTAGCCCTGGTCTAGATGCACAGCTGCAAGATGACTCGGGAGCACACTGCCAGTGCTGATGGTGACGAGTCAGTTCTGTCACACATGCACACATCCTTTCAGCATAAGTGTATTTATTTAGGCATTTGTTTAAGTTTTTAAAAGCTCTGAGCCTTTGCCAGGGCTTCTGGGCTCCCAGCTTATTTCAAAATCAGTAGGATGATGGCTAAACATAGAGTTAGTTCCTGGTGTTGAAAAAAATCCCTGTTTAATGACTCAGTGCTCCTGCACTGGAAATGAACGAAGGTATGAATATTTACTTTCCTGAAAGAAATGTTGCATCATTAATATCCGTACAGTTCTTCTTTATTAAATATGCTCATCTTTTCATATTTGGTGCTGCATAAAAGAGAATTGTGTATGTGAGAGCAGTGGCTTTTCCCAGGAGCAGCAGCTCAGAAGTTCCCTGGTTGGAGGTGTAATACTAATGCGACAGTGCCTCACATCCCATTGCTCTGTTTCTTCCAGAAGCCTCAAAAGAGGCAGTTATGATCCTTTGAAATGCTGGTAATGATGTTAGTGCTACATAGGCTTGACTTGGTCTGTGAGACCAAGGAAAATATTCTGAACAGGGAATTCATGTGTCTCTTTTTAAACACAACTCAGTCAAGTGTGGAAATGCTCAGCTCTAATGATAGTAAACGGAAGTGATGTATAGCGTTACGTAGCATTTCTCAAGCCTGGCTGAAACTTTAGATACAAACCACCATGGCTGTGGCTTTGCTTTATTACAACTTTTGGTTCCTGGACATAGTGATGTGCTCAGTCTTGCTGCAGTTTTTGATGGAAGTAGAATCTGTCCTGTAGCCTTTAGATCTTTCGTTTGGCAGCTGTAGGATTTTCTGTCTTGTCACTTCCCCTTTTTTTTTTCCTCTTGGGCGAACATTTTATCAGTAATTTTCCATGTTGTGAACTTAAGCTCTTGAATTTTTATCTTGTTTGTTTGTGTATTGCAGCTGGTGCTCAGGATAAAATTGGCTGGGCATTTGGCTTGGGTTTGGAGAGGCTGGCCATGATCCTGTATGATATCCCTGACATCCGACTGTTCTGGAGTGAAGATGAACGCTTCTTGAAACAATTTATTGGGCCTCACATTTGGCAAAAAATAAAGTTCCAGGTAAAATAACAAATATATGATAATAATTTACTGTCAGTTAGAAGTATGTGTATCCCTAGAGAATATCACATAATTGAAATTCTGTGCCATTATCTGATTAGGTTTTAAAACAACAGCTTTACAGCTATCACGATTCTCTGATACACTGCAATAAAATCCAGCTTTTGATGATAACATTTTTTTCGACCAGATAATATTGTAAGTTCCTGCTGATACCCAGTGAACATCCCTGGTATGAGTAATGCTTAAACACATATTTAACTTCTAAATATATCCAGAATAGGGATTGATTAAGACCTATGTCTGATTTGGTTATGTTCTTGAATTGTGTCTCAAGAATTCTGTTTCATTATAAATATGTGTCTGATGAAGAGCATTCAAAGATCATAACACATTCCCAGTTTTTTCCCATTGTTTTCACTCTACATTCATTGAAGTCAATGTGAGTTTGCAATGTTAAACTTTGGCAAAATGCTTTGTGAACATGTCTTGCCATTTTCAAGATGTCAGCTCTTTTCCCCAGGTGACTGGTGGGGAGAGTGCAGGCTGAGCTTGTATTTGTTTTGTAACTCCTCTACTGAGGTGATTTTGTAGTTAACAACTTCATCTTACTTTTCTGTACTTACAAAGCAATCAGGCATAACTGTATTGAGTGGAATTGCTACTTTCATAATACTCTTCAGCATCAGCATGGTAAGGTTCAAGTCAGGTGTCATCAGCTGGTCTTTGGGAGAGTTGAGCTGATGTAGCTTTGTAGATGCTTGGTGAAGTCTGAAGTGCTAAAGCAGCAAAATACTTTTTGCTGCTGCCTTTTACCATTTTACTTGCTTTCTTTGTAAACAGCTTGATTATGTTCTTTTAAGAACTGAAAATATAAAAGGGGAAATCAACAGTGTAGTACTTAGGTGATGTTTGACTAGTCTCTACATTGAATCAGTAGCAGCATCCTTTTTTTTTTAATTCATGGCAATTCCCACACATCTTCTCTGGTATAGTCAAAAGCGTTTGAGATAGGTTTGGCGGGTGGGTTTCGGTTTTTTTGGTTGCAGTTTTTTGGTTTGGGTAAGAGTTTGGGAATTTTTTTTGATTGGTTGGTTTTGGTTGTTTTTTTTTTTATTATTTTCTTTGGTGATAGCTGGCATTAGGGTATTCAGCTTGTAGTTTATTATCACTTACAGAAAGAAGACAGTTTTTTGCCACTGTTCCTAAACATAGATCTGCTTGTAGGTTTCCTTAACCTCTTACAGAATGTTTGTTCTTTTCGATAAGGAATGTTCAAATCTCCTTTTCAGGTCCTGTCTTTCTCACTGGCGTTGCTCCTGAGGTTGTGGCTTGATTTATAGATTGCAGTCTGATCTCTGAGAGGGGGTTGCTTGTCTGATTTCTCTAAGTTGCATATAATCTTCATGTTCAGCTTCAGATAAGTCAGGTGTAGTGAGTCAATCTGAAGATGCCAGAGCCACAGCTTACTGTGGATAGGCTCAGAGGAAAGGACGTTTTCTAGGAAGCTAAAAGGCAAATATTTTTTTTTTTAATTGATGCTGTTTGGTAGCCTTAGCTGAGCAGGAGTCACCAGGAGCAGGTGGGTTTGTATAGTTTTTCTGGGTATCTGTGTCATTGATAGAAGAGTGGTGAGAAGGTCTTCATGGGTCTTTGAGCATTTCTTGTTGCTGAACGGTGTTGTTTTCGGCTGCCATTGGCTCACCTTGGAAAAAGGAGAAAAGTTCCACAACCCAGAACTGATGTTGTAGGGACTCATGAAGTTGAGGCTTGCTGGCTGAAACACATTTTGAAGTAATAACATGAACCAGGAGATATGGTGCAATAGGTGGGGGACTTCAAGGAAGAGAAATTGTCAGCTGCCAGTGTGCTCTAACTTGAAACAAAGGGAAAGACTAGAGTAATATTGCCAGGCCATTACCTACTGCTTTATCACATTAGTGTGTTGGCAGCTGTCGTATCCCAAGAAATAGGACAGTGAAAAGTATACAGACTGGGAGAATGAGGGGTATGTGAGTGGGGCAGCAGAGGTGGAAAAATGAATTATTTTCAATATTTTCCTTCTCTCTTCTAAAGAAAAGGATATGGCCACTGTTTTAGAAACAGATTTTTGCTCTGGTATCGACAACTTCTTATGGACTTTTTATTTAAAAAAAAATATTTTTTCTTCTATTTTTATTCTTTTTCCCCCCCCTTCCCTTTTAATACATACATGCACACACCTGACTTAGATGTTTCATTTTCGGTTTTGGTAGAGTAATTCTCTGCAATTCTTAGCATACATTTTTCAATGCTATATCTGAATATAAGAAACTAGAGACCAGCTTGGGTTTTTGTTTAAAAGGAAGTCTGTGTCTGGCTTTCGTCTGGTATCTTACTCTGAGCTTTTTCAAGCTCAATACTGTACATACTTCTGGTACATACTGGCACTGTTTTTTAAAGGGTTAATGACCCTTCAAATGAAAATACAATTAAATACTCTGTGGTGCTACCGTAAGATCTCAAGTTTTTTCTTCTCCTCTATGTTAGTTTTCAGATATGCTGTAAAACCAAGTTAGCAGATCTTCTGCACCTGTCTACTTTCTAAAGAGTCATAATTAATTAATCACATGGTTTATTCATATCATATTTGAAAGAAAACTTTTAGCCTGTCTGCCAGCGTTGATGTTGTAAGAAATCTCAATGGATATTTGAAAAGTGTCAGATTTTCTGCATGCAAAGCCATGCAGTACTTTTCAGTTCAGTACAAGCTGAACGAAGACAGACCAGGTGCTTTGAGAGCCTTTCATGACGCAAATTTAATCCTGTAGCCTCAGAAGGTCTGGATAAATGTCCATTCCTTTGTGTGCTTAACCAAGATAGACCTCTCAACCTTTTTGTACTGTCTCCACCCTTTCTTATAATATGAATATGATCCACCAACATAAATACTTTTCTTTCTGTTCACTAAAACATTCTTCAAATACATGAAGTCCACACTGCATAGCAGTAACCTTTAGCTGGGCTAAATATACTCGCTCAAAAACTGAATTTAATTGGAGTATTTTCTTGGGACTTAAAAGACGTATTTTGTGTCCTTTAACAGCCTGAATGTGTCAGGCTTTTCCCTGTGTCATCAGTTGCTCAGTATATGTATGCAGGCTTCAGTAGGTCAAAAAGCTGCTGGGAAAAGCTGACAGTGCTTGTACCAATGTGGCCACTCAGCGCAGCGGTGTTAGAGGGCTTCTCCCCACAGATCAGATTATTGCATGGATTTGGATTAGCAAATTACTCTAGCTGTAATCTGACAGAAGTCACAGCAGTGTGGGGGATCAGAGGCTGGTAACTTGCCTTCAATCACTTGTGTAGGGCTTCTGCTCAGGCTGTGAAATGAAAGGCTGGGATGGACAGGGCAGGAAGGACTAAGAACCTGCAAGGCATTATGTAATAAAACAAATGGCTTGGCTCCAATCTAGTACACTGTGCTACATCCGTGTTTGTCAGGGCTCTGAGCATTGTTCCATGTAATCACTTTCCGGTTCATCCTGAGCCAGCATTCTTACAAAAAATAGATGTGTCCGTGGGCTGACAACTCCCAAGAAAAAGTACAGAAATGAAATGCTATTTAGAGAAGGGAGGTACCCATAGTTCAGATGGAGTGTGGAGTGCCCAGAGGTGTTGATTAAGATGGACGGTCTCTGGTGGCAGGATGGTTCCTGGAACCTCCATTTTGCTGCCATAGTAAGCAAGCAGCACATCATGTCAATTGTGTTCTCTCCTCACAAAGTCACTTCCATTTCATGCTGGTGTCTGTGGCTGCTGTTGTTTTAAAGTTACTTATTTCTATTGCAGATGAGCCTTGTGGTCTGGCCTGAGGTCAAGCAGAGTCATGTTTATGGCTGCTGTGAGGGAGGCAGTGGTACGGAGGGAGTCTGGATCAGATTCCTAGCAAAACTACAGACTCCCCCTGTAAGACTATGGGAGTTGGTGTCATCTTCTTTTCCTCATTTGTGCAATATCTGCAGTGAGCTTAGCACCACCTGCTTTTTACCCCCTCTCCCCACTTCATTATCTTCAGGGGATGCTCCTTCCTTATATCTGCTGGCACATTTTGTCTCTCCAAACTCAGTTCCTTCATACTCAAAATAATAGACTTTCTAACCAGGATCATTCTGATGGTGTCAGAATAACTAAAGCTTCTGGAGCAGCTCTGCTGGGAGACCTGAGGGGCTAGTAATTTTTGTCAGTGGAGTGAGGAAAATTTACAAACAACTCGAATTGACACTGCTCACCTCCTGCGCAGCTGCAGCCAGAATGGTGTATGTGGCCCTAATCTAGGAGAGTCTCTCTGATTTGAAAAGTGAGCAGTCGAGGTTAGCAGAGATGAGAAAAATCAGACATCAGAAAGATGTAGTTGTGTGGAAAGAAGCAATTCATTATACGGGAAAGTAAGTCAGAGCGGGCTCCTCTTTCTCCTGTGCATGATAGCAAAGGCTGGGCATTCCTTGCTCAGTGTGCCGTAGGAATTAAAGTCCTCTTCTAATGACAAAGGATTTATCCAGTAGCCCAGTTTGCACAATTTGCTGTATACGTGAACCCTCTTATTCACACCATTAGGCAGTCCAACTTTTCTACCTTACTGTGCACTTTTCAGTTCTCTGAGACAGTCATCATCCCTGTGCATCTTTCCTGTGCACATGCCTAATTGTTGCTGGGAGACATAGAGCTTGTCCTGAAATTTTAGAAGATGCTGAAAATAAAATGGACTGTCAGATCCAAGGGGAAACTTTTGCAAATTAAACCATCTTAGTGTATATCCTTTATTCCATGCTTGAGAAGGAGAGCATCTGATGTCTATGCCATCCATTTCAACCAGTTTGATCTTATTACGTTCACTGCACAGGGTGGGTCTGTCTGATCCATCATTAGTATGCTACTCCATATAATTTATATTTATCTCCTTATACTGTGATTAGCTTTATTTCCCAATAAAAAGTAAATAGATTCACTGGTTGCTACAT